TCCCGTTGCCAACTAGGGATGGTATGAAATTGGCGAAATTTTGCGCAGAAAAGTTTAATATTAATTAAGACATTATTGCAAACGTCTCTACGCCATTCCCGTGGCATAATACTTTGACACATTAATTGCGAGGACTCCTGGATTCGAATCCTGTAAAAACGTTCGGTCAGGGCGGGCACGGGGTCGGGTCGTTAATAAAACGTATCACTAAAACATAGATCTTTTAAGGACTGTTACATAAGAAATTAAAAATTATCGTTTAGTTAGGAATCTTATGTAATTCTTATAGTAAAATTTGAATAGTAGCTTTTCGGACAAGTTCTGAATCAATTAGATAATCAAGGTTTGAAACCAAAGTTTGTGAAGAAAACATAAACCGAATTTCGGGTGAACTTTTCAATTGCAGTTCCACCACTTTAGTTTCGGTCAAACCACATCTGCCCACGTCTATCGCGCCTTTAGTTAGGCGTTAGGCGGTAACCATTGTTCATTACAGGAGAAGGACAATTTGCGGTTACCATGTTCGGCAACATGTTGCAAAATTGTATATGTTTTCTAATTAAACAACTCTCTTGTGTTTCGAACAAGGCTGTGGGAAAAAGCTCTCATTGATGTATTGATTATTTTCTATGACTAATACTTGGAAACAAAGAACTCTTTATTCTTAGTGCCATTGTTCACTTGATATGCATCGATAATAAAAATGCAACAAGCGTCAGCAAATTAGAAAAAAAATATTTAAAATTATTTTCACATTTCACATTAATTCCAATATGAGAGTGAGTTACAATAAGGTATTTTACATATCTCAAAGATTGTGCGAGACGAACCCCACTATGTACTTTATTGGTACATAGTGGGGGTTCTATTTTAATAATTTCCTGTTTATTTCAAATATTATAAATAGAATATAAATGTAATATTAAATATTCTTGTGTATTGGTTTGGACCAATAATAAGAAGGGTACTTCTTTTTTATTTTTCACTACAATTTAATTCTAAATTCAAACATTGTCATAGATTAGAATTTGATTTTAAATGTCATAATTTTGCATAGAGAACATCGGTGAAAGAAACCTTCGCGCAATCATCATGTACTTGAAGCAATATTAGACAAGAGTGACCTGTCAAAACATATTTGGGGTAGATGGCCCAAGGCGTCAGTCCCAGCAGTGGAAAATATTAACGGGCTGGTGAACTTTACTAGGTAGAATAATATCAACTCGTCCAAACCAATTTACAAGTTGTTTTCATTGTGAACACTATCAATTATTTAAACTTAGTTAGCGTCCTAACCAATGTTATTACTCAAAGCGACGACATTAATTATTAATAATTGCGAACCGTAATTAACTGATATGCGATCGGATCTCGTTTTACGTGCCGAATTTTCAAGTAATTTCGGGAAAATCTATCAATACTACGTTATACGAATAGGTATAGTACTGTAGTAAATTTTATGCATTCAGAGCTTCTAGGTAAACTCACAATATCACTTTAAGAATCATATTTATTTACATATATTGTATTCGTGGTATAAGTTTAAATTTATTGGTAAAAAAAATAAATGTTTAAATAATTTTATTATGTTTAACGTGAACAACCAATTTTAATATTTTTTAAATGTTAGTTAACCTAAAATTTAAACTATTTCCATTGTGTATATCTTTTTGATCGTTCTTATAATGCATAAAAATAATAGATCCCATTATATGCAACAGGGAGAAGAAGAATCATTGTTATCTTAAAAATCAAGAAGGACACTTTAATAAAGTTTGAAGGGGCAGATTGAGAATGAGCCCGGGGCCCGGGGGCCCGGGGGGGGGGGGGGTGGGGGGGGGGGGGGGGGGGGCGCCCCCCCGGGGGGGGGGGGCGGGGGCCCCCCCCCCCCCCGCCCCCCCCCCCCCCCCTCCTTTGTGGGTTTTTTTTTTTTTTTTTCCCCCCCCCGTTGGGTATCTTGAATAGTTTTCGTAGCACACGCAAACGGAAGCCCTCAGAGAAAAAACAATCCCCGTCTATTCCACATTTTCTTCTGTTTATAGCTCTATTGGTCGCAGCACAATGTTTTACAGCCCCTCGTAAATGGTCCAACTGAAACAAAAAGAAATTGATTCGATTCGAACTGTTAGCTCCTGAGATTAGTACGTACAAACAAACCACCAAACCCTCCAGCTTTATATATCAGGATAGATATAGATGACTTATCATACTTAAGGTAGGAGCTAGTTCATCTAACCGACGCTGTCGTCTCGCCAACCGGCGCCGCTTCGTCGCCGTCGATACAAACCCGACTTCCCTTGTTTTCACAACCGCTGCTCTATTTTCCGTTGCCAAAATCTGGATTTATAGGGGTCGTGCTCCGCTTGTATCACGATTATTGAGTTTACGACTCTCCTTTGGGTTGTATTTTTAGGTCGGATGCTCAATTAGAACTTAACCAAGCAGAACAAAAAGCCTCCACAAGGCAACAACTCAATTTGTAACTGAAATTTATTTTATTAACTTGAATAAATTGTTAAGAAGGTTGTTTGTAGAATTAAAGTCGCTTGAAAGTAATAAGAAGTAATTCTAAAATCTGCACCTATGTTTGTGATAAATGTCTATGTGTAACTAGATCGCTTTAAAAGTCAAATATCAGTTTTGTTTGACTTATAATTAAAATATGTAATTTTATCGCAGACATATAGATGTATGTAACAAGGGTATACGGAGAATATCTTTCCTAAATGCTTGAGCATCCGTACCTTAATAGTTAAACGTGTCACGAATAATTGTGTAGGATCCTGGGTTCGAATCACGAAAAGCGATAAATTTAATTCAATCAGTGGAACGGACTCAAAAATGTGTTCGCCCCATGCCCGCAAGGGAAAACAAAATTGTACTGTTCTGTATGATCGCGATTTATAAAATTTAGGTAAACTTCCAAATCGTGTATACAAATAAATGACTACTTAATGAAATTTCTTCAAATATTTACATCAATATGATCTCGCCAGCCAAAATGAGGATACCGAGGGCGGACTCCGGCTTCCATAATTAATGAGCTTTTTAATAGACAGGCTGCGATTAATTTTGAAGTAACCCTAGGGCATCGGAATAAAATTGCTTTATACTGACCGGTACTTTATATATGTACGTATAACGCTCGTACATAATATATTATAATTATATTATATTATATGCTGTATTATTCAATGTTTGACGGATTAAAAATAAAACAAAAGTGTTTTGAAGTTCTAAAACTTAAATTAGTTTAAATAATCCTCATTAATTGAAATTTATGTGTTCCTTTTATTTAATTTCATTGTTATGATATCTACTTGTTCGAATATGAATTCTTGATTCTAGCATTCCTTATGGTTTTGTCTTTCGAACGTTTGAATTTCATTGTTTGAGAGATATTATAGTTTTATCGGCTTCAAGTATTGTTACGGATCTACTTTACTACTTTCACGGAATTAACGGAAACTGTTGTTTCATACTTTCTCAGGCAACACTTTTTATCTGTAAAATCCGCCTCGCTTCAAAGAATTAGCAAAATCAGTTGACTTGCTTCATAAATTCAGCGATTTATTTTTATATTACACATATCATCTATTTTGATTACCCATGTTTCGCATAATATTCAGTTGATGTCCAAATTGAGAGTTTAGTTAGGTTTATGCGTAAATTAATTTCCATTTGATTAAATATTCTCGTTTCATTATCAAATCCCGTGTAAGCGTTATTTATCTGGGCTAATGGAAATATTTTACTATGAATTGTTAAACATTGCACACCTGCAGATGCTCGTGGTTTTATGTTATCAGATGCAGTATTTGTATAGTTATATGTTTATTATATTTTTATAATCACTTTTAAACATTTAAATAAAAACTTTAACGGTTTAAAACGCGATATATTAGTTGAACTTATTTGAAAATATTTTTAACTTCGGCCCGACGTTTCGGATGCTTTGCAGCAGCCGTGGTCACGGGGAGACTGAAAAATCATTTTCAAATAAGTTTAACTAATATATCGCGTTTTAAACCGTTAAAGTGTTTTATTTAAATGTGTACTACTCGCGTAAACTATAGACAGTATTCAGCTTTTAAACGTCAACCGGCTTAGTAACGATGTTTAAAACGATTTTAGGATGAAGATTTAAATTAAACAACGCTAGATTTATATTAGTAAAACTTATTTGAAATTATTACCTACGGATGCTTTGCAGCAGCCGTGGTCACGGCGGCGGGGATGTGAGTGGTTGTCTCTCTATCTGTGTTTTATTTAAACAAACAACGAAAGTAAAAAGCGCGGTATAACTTTGTAGTTAAACATATTTAGTTCGCGGGAAGGACCGCTCAAGAAAGGAAAGTCACATGCATATTAGACTACCGCGTCACTCAAGGAATAACTCTTGGTTTAAGAAATAAATAAAAACGCTATTACATTATTTCCCCACAAATCAGCTCCTTTGGTGATTTAAAAACAAACAAACAAGCAAAAAGAAAATACTTTATTGTCACCACCAATATGTTACAGAAATAAGATTCAAAAGAGATAAAGTATTTAATTTGCTTTATACGTTAATTAATTGAAGCCCCGTGCCCCGGACAGTAAGACAAATGTTTGGTCCCAATCACCTATAGTCTAGTGGCCGTAGTCGTTTCACCTACCTACACTGGGTCAGCGTTAGGCCTAAGATTTTTAAAGCTTTTCACTTGTGGTAGATGAGAAATATACTTAGCGTCCGGAGCGTAGTTTTAAAAGTTTTGATCTATATTTTAGTGTATGCCAGCAATAAAAACTAAAAATAAATATAAAAAATAAAAATGAATGTTTAAATACAGTTCCTCAAATTTAAATTTGCATGCATTGCAGATATAGTTTAGTAAATATAATTAAATAAATTAGCTGTCTGCGTACATGTTATTGCAGTGGAATCCAAATAGTGTTGACAATATGTCGCATAATTTAGCAGAAGCATATAATAAATAACCATGTTGAATTGTTCACAGTTCCTGGCACTGCTGGAACGCAATGTGGTGGCGAACATGAGCCTCCAGTACCGACAGATGACGCTCTTCGCGCCCACTAATGCTGCATTCCAGAAGTACAACGGCGAAATGGATGACTTTTTGGTTCTATATCACATATGTAAGTAATGATTATATTATTATTGTTAACTCAATATTATAGGACACGGTAGCCCAATTGGTTAGACTTTAGAGCAACAGCACCGGACGCTGTGGATGCCGGTTCAAGCTCTGCCCGTGTAACATTTTTTAAATTTCTGATTTATATAGTGCCATCATGTGCAATAACATTTCTGAATATTAAAATTTTCGAATATTATGACATTATTTATTTTTCAGAGTCATTACTCTAATAATAACACAGATTTAAAATTAAAAAGAAAAAATATTTTTTAGTATCAGCGGAAAGAACGAGCGATTCTTAGGAGTACAAATCTCTTACAATGCTTTATGTTAATGTATTAAATACTAGGAGAAGCTTACAGTATGGACGGGCGGTTTATTTTAAAGCAATATTGTAATATTAATTAACTTAATTAATTTATTTGATAAATTATCATATTTTAGGAATCAGAAGCGGATTTTCTAAAAAAAAAAAAAAAAAAAACAACAACAAAAAAAAAAAAAAAACAACAAAAACCCCCCCCCCCCCCCCCCCCCCCCCCCCCCCAACCCCCCCCCCCCCCCCCCCCCCCCCCCCCCCCCCCCCCCCCCCCCCCCCCCCCCCCCCCCCCCCCCCCCCCCCCCCCCCCCCCCTCCTTCTTTTTTTTTTTTTTTTCCTTCCTTCCTTCTTTCTTTTTTTTTTTTTTTTTTTTTTTTTTTTTTTTTTTTTTTTTTTTTTTTTTCTTTTTTTTTTTTTTTTTTTTTTTTTTTTTTTTTTTTTTTTTTTTTTTTTTTTTTTTTTTTTTTTTTTTTTTTTTTTTTTTTTTTTTTTTTTTTTTTTTTTTTTTTTTTTTTTTTTTTTTTTTTTTTTTTTTTTTTTTTTTTTTTTTTTTTTTTTTTTTTTTTTTTTTTTTTTTTTTTTTTTTTTTTTTTTTTTTTTTTTTTTTTTTCGGTCCCCCCCCCCCCCCCCGGGGTTTTTTTTTTTTTTTTTTTTTTTTTTTTTTTTTTTTTTTTTTTTTTTTTTTTTTTTTTTTTTTTTTTCCCCCCCCCCCCCCTTTTTTTTTTTTTTTTTTTTTTTTTTTTTTTTTTTTTTTTTTTTTTTTTTTTTTTTTTTTGGGGGGGTTTTTTGGGGGGGGGGGGTTTTGGGGGGGGGGGGGGGGGGGGGGGGTGTTTTGTGGGCCCCCCCCCCCCCCCCCCCCCCTTTTTTTTTTCCCCCCCCCTTTTTTTTTTTTTTTTTTTTTTTTTTTTTTTTTTTTTTTTTTTTTTTTTTTTTTTTTTTTTTTTTTTTTTTTTTTTTTTTTTTTTTTTTTTTTTTTTTTTTTTTTTTTTTTTTTTTTTTTTTTTTTTGGGGTGGGGTTTTTTTTTTTTTTTTTTTTTTTTTTTTTTTTTTTTTTTTTTTTTTTTTTTTTTTTTTTTTTTTTTTGGCGGGGGGGGGGGGGGGGGGTGGGGTTTTTTTTTTTTTTTTTTTTTTTTTTTTTTTTTTTTTTTTTTTTTTTTTTTTTTTTTTTTTTTTTTTTTTTTTTTTTTTGGGGGGGGGGGGGGGGGGGGATATATATGATAGCGAATAAAACAAAGAGACCTTAAAACAATGGCAGGTATATAATAAACTGATTAATTTTTACCGAAACCGGTTTTTTCTATAATACAATGTAATTCGTGATATAATCGAGTAAATTTTTGTTGAATCATATTCAATTGTTCGAAATAAAGATCCGATTAAAACGAAAACAACTTGTGTAATAACTAATAACTCTCTGTTCAGTACACACCTGATATATTATATAATATATATAACGCATTTTTATTTCCGTAGCAAACTTGGCAACTACGCTGTCAAATCTGGACTATTCTATATCATCGGAGCTGGATGGCAATCCTCCCTTGTGGGTGACACGAAAACGGGACCCACAACATGATGACATCTACGTCAATAACGCTAAAGTCGACGTCTCGCGATCATATCAGGCCACAAATAGAAACGGCAAACGACAGGTGAAATACGTTTTACTTATAGCTACCTCGTCCCATATTGAGTTGTCACTCAAAGAGCTTAATATTCTTCTATAGAGCTTAATATTATTTTATATTTCTACATGAAATTGTATAGAGAAATATAATGTGAATAGAAAATCTGTTTATTTGTTATTAGATTTAGCAGACTGTTTTAACATTTAATAATACTTGAATTGCATTTTTTTATTTTTGAATTTCGAATTAAAACCGGAGTGTTTTATAAAATATCTACATTTAAATATAACACTTTAACGCAAGAAATTTAAGTGCCTTCCTTGGTTATGGATTTACGTAGATAGTTACGTAACATAGATTTTTTAATTACTGTCTGTAGTTTACGCAAGTAGTGCACATTTGTTAAACGTATTTGAAAATTATTTTAACTAATATATATCGCGTTTTAAACCGTTAAAGTGTTTTATTAAAATGTGCACTACTCGCTACTGTATCAACATTTTAAATATATTATTGAACATTAACATTGAAGGAGCAGAATACGACTCACGTTAATTGCTTTACAAAAATAGAAGAATAACTACTTCCAATGTTAAACAAGTCTTTTGTTTTCCTATTTATTCGAATGTTGGACATAAACTAATACGGCTTTAAAGTTAATCCGACTGCTGTGGGACACCATATTTTTGTTACCCTTTTCCGGAGTTAGATAACCCAGCTTCACAGTATTTATTATACTCTCAATTTCTCTCGGAGCATTTCCCATATACGCTGAGCATATTAGTTTCAACATTAACTTTAAAAGAAGATAAGAAAGAGTTTACCCTCTAATAGAATTCAATTATTTTCACCCTAACATGATCTGTTTAATGTTTGCAATCAATAATTATTACATTTAGTTAACTTCTATAAAATGTTTAAATAAAACACTTTAACGGTTTAAAACGCGATATATTAGTTAAACTTATTTGGAAAAGATTTTTAACTTCGACCCGACGTTTCGGATGCTTTGCAGCAGCCGTGGTCACGGTGAGACTAAAGATCAATTCTGCAAGGACCCGGCCAGTTTCGCCAAATACCATCTTCGACGGAACAGATGGCGCCAGCGTAGCAATTTTTTATTTTGACGTCAGAGACATCCTCCATCTTTAGTCTCCCCGTGACCACGGCTGCTGCAAAGCATCCAAAACATCGGATAAGATACTGTCTATAGTTTTGTCTCGCGTAAACTATAGACAGTATTTTCTATAAAATGTCATTAAAAAATTGACACAAATTCCCAAAGTTTGAAATTAACTAATTTATTATTGGTGTTCTTTACAGCCACATATATCGCTTATTATTAATTTTAATTGTCAATGAATACAGACGTCTTTAGGTATTTTAAAGCGATATTTACTGATGAATGGTTCGTGTTCTGTTTTTCACCAGTTGCATAGAACAGGATGATCGCGTTGAAATGGGCTATCGGTTATATAACTTGCAATGATAGCCTATTTTAAGGCAATGTCGCGCGTATATTGGCGAAATTAATCATTTAGTGCAGGAATATTTTAATCTTTCTTAACGATACAGCCTCAGTTAAGTTAAATATTGTTATTTGAATTGAAAACCTGAAAAAGGCTTTGTGGAGAAATACCTAACATGTATTTCATTATTAAACTTCAAAGCAAAACCCATCTAGTTCTCTACGTAGGGAATCCAAATGATTATAAATTTTCGAAATTTTTAGCCGCTCAAAACGAGCAATACTAGATTCATGTATTTACAATAACAGTTATCAAAATGTACCAACATATTTGCTAATTACAGAGGCGTGAAGATGTAATTAAGTTATTGTTATCTGTCCCAATATTCGAGCCCTTGGGTGTCGCTCCAAGTGGATGCTTAATTTCGTAACGAGATAACGTATAAAGTTATGTAATTACAACGTTAGTAACACGAATTGTAGCTTCGTACAAACTGATTTGCACACGCTCTCATTACGCTTAATATGCTGTGCGCGGCTTGCACAAACCTATGAAAACTTTCAACTAGCAATTTTCCAACTCTCATATGAGAAATGTTTAACTGCAACTTGCAATAATAAAATCTTATTAACAACTGCATTTAATTAAAAATGTTTTTTAATTAACATGATAGATGGCTGCACCGTCGGCGTTGGAATTATGCAATAAAGATACACTATACAGCACAGGAACTTTTTTAGGCGCATTATACAAGAAAAAATTAATAAATATATTACTTAACTTATTTTCATTATGATCCAACGTTACCGATGTTTTCCACGTGGTGATGTCTGCACGTTAAATAGTATATTTATTAAGTAGTATATTTCACGTTTTAAACCGTTACAAGTGTTTCAGTAAAATGTGTAAGTAGTACACATTTTACTGAAACACTTGTAACGGTAACTTTGTCATTTTCAATTAGTGGATATAGTTTCTTAGAACACATTAAGAAAAGACAAAGTTTCACCTTTATTTGTTCATTTGTATAATAAATCTAATTATATTTTATAGGTTCTTCACGTGATTGATCAAGTGCTGCAGCCGCTCTTGCCCCATGGGCCCAGTTCCATTGGTTCGCCCGTTTACAACCCGAATGCGTTCCAGTTTCTAGAACACTCGGATGTCTTCGATATCAGCCAACACCGACTAAGGTAATGCCAGATATAAGTAATCCCAATAAAATATAAATTATAATAATTTCATAATTTTATATAACGCTACATTGTTCACGGCGTTCCTTCAATGACACAACCTAGAACAACATCGAGGAGTAACGAAAAGTCTTCAAAAATTATTCAAGAAGAAGAGTCAAAACTTTTTAAGTTGACGATTTAATAAAAAAGGATTGTGTCTAAATTTTGTTCAAAGTTTTTGACAATCTTAAGCTTCATTTTGTATTCCGATTTCAAAATGCGAGGAGGCGAAATTTTATAATTTGAATTACATTGAGAATTCAATAATCAAGTTTAGCGGAAAATTTACCTCGCAACTTTTCACTTCTTTGATTAGGTTTGGCCTGCAGTCGAGCGAAATAGGGAGTTAACAGTTTGCACAGCCCGGTCTCAACTAAGTCTTTGGTCTCCTAAACACCCTACAAGATTTTATTTATTTCTATATTTACTACTACTGAATAAATATTGATATATTATATTATTTTTATATTCTTAATAAATAAAGATTGATTGTTTGAATCGAGTGTTAAGGTTGGAACAACAGCACGGAACGCTGTGGATGCCAGATCAAGACCTGCCCATGGCGTAAAATTTTTTTCAATCTATAATCGTTTTTTTTTTATTTATATTATTTGCAATCATGTGAAAAATAATAAAGTTTTAAAATATATATATTTTTTTAAAACATGTAAAACTCCGTCAGAAAAGTCTTGACAGTAATCGGTAGGAATATATAAATTCCGTCCGGAAAAAAGATAACCATATAAAAACTCTGAAACACCGGATATCGGTTCCGTACGTGTAAAGTAAAAATCGGTTGACATCTTAGTTAAAATTAAACTCTATCGTAACACGAGATGATATTACCAAGGAGACCGCTAGGAGACCGCAGCCTTACCAATTCGCAACATGCAACAATGTTAGCATAATTACACGAACTTGTATGTTTCAATTGCTGACAAAAATTCGGTTTAAACCAATTGAAACTCAACTTGATGAACTGAACTGAATAATAACACTATTTGCTACTTAGAATAACAAACCGAACGAGTCTCTAGAGTTTTGCATACTTCGTCGTGGCTTTCTATATTTTGCATATTAATATGGTTGTGGCGTTGTGATAAGAAAAGTTAGAAAATGATTCATGAAGGTATTTGGCGAAAGCATAGCAAGTAGATAGCTAAAAATCCAGACTCTAGACTGTGTCTTTTACGTTTGATGGTCTCTCTGTAATGGTAGCAATGTGTGAATTAGAATCAAGGGGTCGTGAATTTTCTGGATATCAAATGGTTGGTAGGAATGTGTAAATTCTGCCGGGTCACGAACTCGATGAACAAGCCCTTAAGTTTGATCGCGTTTCAGTCTGTGGATTTCCCAAATATCCAAAGCCAAAATATCTATGCTTTATATCATCAATAAATGTTTTTTTCTACAAGTAAGTAGATCATCAAGCTTTTGTGCCCTGGTAGTCGGAATCATTTTTTTATCTCTCGGAGGTAACGCGTTCTACGCCTATGTACATAACTTGACTACATGGAACGTGTTTTAGAACGATATACCCCTGATTTGTAAAAATTACGGGTATATCGTTTTAAAACAGTTAGTAAATGGAAATTAAAAGTATTCCAACAATTTTATATCATAGTATTTGTAATAAACAATAAGCAATATTCCCAAATAAATTGACGTTATTTATGTCTGATTTGGAAATATTGATCAGAAGCGAAGGTCAGATTAAGGAGATTGAGCAGACTCACCTCTTTTGTTAAGCTGACGCCAGCAAAATTGTTTTAGGTATAAATTTGTAATCTGTTAACCTGTGCGCAGGTTTTTATAAATAATGTTATTATTTAGTAGGTATTAGAATTTTTTTTTCGGACTCCTTATGTCTATTTAAAAAATACGCGAATACTTAAATAAAACACTTTAACGGTTTGGAACGCGTTATATATTAGGTTTAACTTATTTAAAAATATTTAAACTAATATATATCGCGTTTTAAACCGTTAAAGTGTTTTATTTGAATGTTACTCTTCGCATAAACTAGTACCTACGCTCATATTATCTAATTAGTTGCAAGATCTCCCAAACTACACTAAACCCACTTTATACTTTAATTACTGTTACATTGGGGCATTATATGCTGTTGAAGATTTTTATTTAAATTTTAAAGAAGCATAACATAATAAAAGAAATTGTGTTCACGCAATAGATTGATTAGACATTAAGGTTTAAAGTGGCTTCATAAAGTCCTTTCGTGTAACTTATTATTTCTTAAGGTTTATTTTGCTTTGAATTTGATTACAAAGCTGTTACAATGTCCATGAGCAAATTATGTAAAATTTTTAATTAAACTCTAGATCGTTCCGGCAAAAGGTAAATCAACTGCAAAAGAAAGAGGTCTTTAACGCCGACGGCAGACATACTTTCTTCATCCCTGTAGATGAAGGATTTAAGGTAAGACTGTTGTAATAACTAGTTAACGTTTGCTGGTACATTGTACCATTTTACAATGTAGGCTATTATGATACATAACTTATATTTAGTATTGTTTATTCTCATTAAACCTTGTCTACTTCAAACCCTTCTAGTTGCATGAACGGGACACCTCAATAATAAAAAAAATATTGACCGGTATAATATCTTTAGTATGAATCAGCTTAGGAGCGAATATTACTTACTTAGTACAACTACTAATGTAAAAATGAATCCAAGATTAAATCTGAACAAGCGCCAGAGAATATGATGCGAACAAGTTCATAAATAGTGTGAAGCCATTGAGTAAAAAAAATACTTCCAAGGCTAAAAAGATGTAACCCAGAATTATATAACAAAGTTTCAAAATGAGAGTACCCATCCGAGGTTTACCTAGAAAACAACTGAGGCTATTTAGAAAGATTATGACTTCAGTCGCTTGGAAAATTGAAGTGTTCTTCTAAGATAAAAGTCACTCTTTAGTTTCCCAACTCGTTTAGTAACCGCCTAACTAACCAACAGCCTTTTGTTAGAAAAGCTGGAATCTCTTTACAAAACTAAGTAGTTATGTACTTTTATATTTGTTTATTATATTACATAATAATTTACTTGTAGTTCGTCACTAAAGTTAAATGTGATTTTAAAATACGTGTATTTTATTTTTTTCTACTAGTGTTGTGTACATTAGAAATATATTTAATACGAAAACCATTTACAGGACTTGAACCGGATATAACTTAATTGGTTAGAGCACCAGCACAGAACGGTGTGAATGCCGGTTCAAGTCCCGCCCGTAAAAATTTTCAATCTGAATAGATTTTTATTTTATACGAGTATAATTCCATACAGTGCATTAGCATGCATAAATTCAAGATGTGAAAGTTACTATTCAAACATTTATATTGTAATATATATAAATTCAACTCAGAAAATATTAACGTTTTGAAGCGTTGTGCAAATATTCTGTAATATTCTCTACTTATTAAGAGGTGTAAATATCCATAACTAGACGTTATGTTTTTACTGCAGTACCTACTCTGTCCCGCGGGTGTGTTTCGACGTAATTAACGTTTCGAGGAAATTCTCATCAATGTTATAAGTTAATGAACTCCCACAGATTTCAGTTTTATTATAGCCGAAGCCAGGATTAATATGAAATAAAATAATCAAGTATTTGTTATTGGAAACCTTTTGTACGCAATTCACATTCTGGAATATTCAGTTTAACGAGAAATTGTTATTATGGATTAAAACTAGTAGTAACAATTAAAAAAGAGTGGTTAACAATGCCAATTTTATATTAATAAACAATATCTTTTCGTATGTTTTCTAGGCGATCTGTAAAATTTTTGTGATATAAAATTTCTTAAATTAAAATACATAGAAGGTTAAATTGTAGCAATGTATAACGGATCGTGGCTTCAATTTCTATCTGTTCCAACGATCTTAATACTTTCCACAGATGTAAAAGACATGTCATTTCAGTTTATAGTCTGTGGAGTTCCAAATGTTCATGTTGTATGACTGGTTATATTTTCAACAAAAAAAACTAACCTCAATATATCTTATTCTAAAATTTGTATTAGTATTTAAGCTATCTTATTATAAATTAAGGTTTTTCTAGTCCCACAATTCCACATCAATGAACCGCCATCGAAAATTAATTTCGCAGCCAACAACGCGGTCGGACCTAATCGATGCGAAAGTGGTGGACGGTCACGTAATCCCGCAACAAGTGCTCTTCACCCACGCCACTCCCGACAACAAAGAGTTCGAGAGCATGGCCTTCAGTGACAACGTCAAAGTCATCATCTCCTTCAGCACTGCCATGAATGGGAAGGAGGAGCTCAGTGAGTAAATCAATAATAACATAAACACCATTATTCGTGTGTTCAAAATTACGACTTATAGGTAATCAGCCAAGTGATATAAAATGAGAGGTCGTATGTAAGTACGAATCAACTATAGTAATTGTAATTTTCTAAATAACACTTTATCGGTTTAAAACGTGTTATATATTTAAAATGATAAGTCGTGCCGCAGCTGCTGCTAAGGATCCAAAACGTCGGGCCGTAGTTGAAATAATTTTCAAATAATTTTAACTAACATATTTTGTGTGTGTACCTAGTAGTAGCATAATCTGTCTGTACTCAAAACAAATTACTCCTAATTCTTGTCTCTGGCAACACGAATTTGGTCCTCGCTCGACTTTACTCAATTAGAGACCACTTGAAAAGTGACTGGTAAGCAACAAGCATACCAATGAGGCTTGGAGACGTTCTATTGTTTAATTATATTATTATTTAAGATATAATACATTACAAATTCAATTTGTAACTTAAACTTTTCCTTAGTAACAAATTGAGTAAATAAAAGCTAAGTACAAAAGTAAATGAGATAATAAACGCGTAGTTTAGCTTTGCATTTAGCACAACACGTTTTAGATTCTGACCCCGGAAAAAATGTTACAGGCTTCAGTAGGTAAGTAAAGTAAATCTATTATTCTTTTGCACGTATACCACAGCTGCTTTATATATGTATACGAAACATCTCATGTTAATTATCAATAAATTAACTGATTCATTTAAATAAAACACTTTAACGGTTTAAAACGCGATATATTAGTTAAACTTATTTGAAAATGATTTTTAACTTTGGCCCGACGTTTCGGATGCTTTGCAGCAACCGTGGTCACGGGTCTCGCCGTTAATTAATGTGTACTACTCGCGTAAAGTATAGACAGTATTTAATTAACTGATTCATTTAGGTTTTTAAACTGTTGAGAGTACTGGAACACTTTTACAACTCGCGTAAACAAAAGACAATACTTAATTCCTAGTACAACTTAAATTGCACACATTCACACAGATATATAGATATACGGTTTTGTTGTATCTTTTGGCTTGAGCTGACTTCTAAATTATATGTAAATTCAAATCACAAGCACGTTGAAGAGAGCTTACCCGTTCATAGAACTACTTTGCGCGCCATCGCACAAACAACGAATGTTTATACTAATCACTATAATTTACTCAAATTTATTTTAAATGCTGACTCCAATGTACAAAGATTTAATTATATATAAATTATGTAAAAATTATATACATTCGATTACCGGAAAGGCTATGTATCTTAATATACCTAATCATAGAGCAAAATTAAGTTAAAACATTTCGATTACACGGGCTGGATTCGAACTGACGAAAACAACGTTCCGTGCTGTTTTTATACAAAAAAAAAATACTTTATTGTTACCACAAACATATTACGAAATATTTTTTTTATTTTTATTTAATTCTACACTACGGCTCAGTAGTGTAGAATTACTAGGGTAGGACTAGTTGGGCACGTAGCTCTACAGTGCTCTCCTTATGTTATTTTAAATATCTTTTTAACTATCTCTAAAAATTTATTTTTTTATAGTTGTTCGTTTTTAAAAACTTCGGGTAAAAATTAGAAATATTAAATAACGTAACTCTGCATTTTACATCTTGGATGCATCGCATCTTCACTTCTGAAGCAAAACAAAAAATGACGCGAGTGCTTTTACTTCTTCGTAAAGTTGAAAAAAGCTTTTTAAGTTTCTTAGTAAAACAACGAGCAAAAATAATTATGCACTCATTCATGATAATACGCTAGAATTGTTATGTTTTGCACATTAATGCACGTTGAGGTCGTGAATTCGAGTCCTGCTTGTGTGTTTTTTCAATCTTGAATAAACGTTGAAATTCTTACAAACACTCATTCAAACCGACAAATGCTGACTCTACATAATATTACTCAGAATAACCTATGTAAGAACGTAATGTTTTAAAAAACACCGCAGACTTATTTCGGTCGTTCTAATTTTCGTGGCGCGGAAACGCAAGCAGCGAAGGCTTGAAATAAATATCAGTCGAGAGCAAAAATAACACTTAGAGTTTTAAATTCCGAAGTGAAATATTCTATAAGGGTACAGACTAGGATCTGTATGCAGGTAAATTATGAACTACTACAATACAGTCCTATCTTTGAAACGACAGAACTAAAATAAAACCACAGATAAAAGCAATAACCATTGACTATAAATCTAGAGCAAGATACGTTTCACGCACGACTGCTTCCAGTGACAGGAACAGAACCAACCAATCTGTGTATTTTCATTTCTTTAACGTCGCTCCTAAAAGGGGAGACAAATATGCTTTTATTGAACTCGAAAGATATTTTATGTATTGAACGTATTCTCTTAAAAAATAACAGTTATTATTTTAAATAAAACAATTTAACGCATTTAAGTGCGGTCCGACGTTTTGGATGCTTTGCAGCAGCCGTGACGCGTTTAACTAATGTATTTCCCGTTTTAAACTGTTAATGTTTTTTATTTAAATGTGCACTACTCGCGCAAATTACAGTGTTTAGTTATTATTTTATTTCTTTACAGCTATACAAACACACACACACAATTTCTATAGTTTATGCGAGTGGGACATATAGGTAATAGAGGTCGATAAACAAAAATAATTCGCGATTTAAACCGTTAATTTTTCATCTACCCCTTTCTAAACCTCTAAATTTCGTTCTAGAAGTAAATAGATTATATGTATGTATGAACACAGACTCATCAATTTTCTGATTTATTAATTATCTTCTTTCTTCTCTTACCAGCTTACGTAAAGTCAAATACCGTAGCCGGTGATGCCAAACATGCACGTGGTGTAGTTCTAGCGGAAATCGTGCGAGCGAACATCCCTGTCAAGAACGGAGTTGTACATCTCATACAGAGACCTCTTATGGTGGTCGATACCACTGTCGTTGATTTCCTAAAGGTGAGTTCTTGAATTTAATTTCGCTACTTTCCAGATGACAAAACTACTGACAGATAAATCCGAAAGTATATATGTATGTTTATGTGTTAAAACGTGTTCTCTGCACTACCGACTCGTTTTAAAGTATTATACAAAAAACTTTCTGGACAGTAAATAATGCTCTTATTTCTATATGACTGAAAAGTTTTTCGTTTAATTCTCAATATTTCATTACACTTAGCCCGTATTCAATACTTGTTTTAAAACGAGCGGTCTTCGAAAGTAATTGAATAACAAACTTTTTGAATCTTGTCGTTACCTTTTGGCTCCATTTTACGGAAACCAGGCTATGAAGGTAAAATGAACGATTCTATTTTTAATTTTTTTTTAATGTCATGCTCTTTTTTTAATATTCTTGAACAAAGCACTTTGAAGTTGTTTCATAAGTGATTGTTGTACAACCTACAATAACCTCTCGGTAACTTTAGTTTAAAGGTATACATTTTTAGTCTGCATGTGACTCAGAGGAACAAAATGAAACTTTGGTAAGCAGGAAAGCGGTGAGAGAGCTAAAGTTGCCTTGTAGGTCCTGCCCTTGTTTTTCCCCGTTGTTATCACAGTTGAAATACTCAAATTACATATTTTTTAACGTTTAAATAAAACACTTTTAACGGTTTAAAACTCGATATGAATTAGTTAAACTTATTTACATTTAATTACAATTATTTTACAACGGCCCCCCGTTTCTGATGCTTTGCAGCAGACGTGGTCATGGGGAGACTAAAGATAGGGGTTGAGGGGCCGGGGTTTAGAGTTAAAAATAAGTTTAACTAATACATTTCGCGTTTAACACCGTTAAAAGTGTTTTATTTAAATGTGTACTTCTCGCGCTAACGACGGACAGTATTTTGTACCATTTCAATCGTTATGAGGTTAAGGTAAGATAAGTAACACTTTAAACATTAAATTTATTTTTATTATTATCAATGTAGCACATTTATCAATAATTAAGACATTTCTATCGATAGTACTTAAGTCGTGCAACGTGCAATACACAGACAGACTATCCTTTAAATATTAACTCCCATACAATGCGAATACATCATTCATCATGGATACGAACACGTGACGAGTTTGTACGATCTGAAAACTAGCCGTAGGGAGCGCGGCGAAAAAGCCTTCGGGGTTCAACATTTTTAAATTTTCAGTTGCGAAGCAGACGTTCTTTACCCCTTAGGTTAAACACTTTCCAAGCTTAGATTTAACTATACGAAAATGTCAAATTAACACTGTTAACCGTTTTAAAGGTAATCTATTTAAGTTAATTAGTTTTTAAATTTCGAACCAACATTTTATGTCATTTAGTGTGAATCACGTTACTACTTTAGTAGTAACGTGATTAGGCTTTACCCTACGTAAAGTTAGTATGAAATCTAAATAAAACAATAATTACGTAATACATTCCGCGTTTAAACCGTTAAAATGTGTTTCATTTGATGTGTACTCAAATTATTGGTAAATTTCCAAATCGGCAGTATATACAAAACGTCATACATAATATTTTACTATAGTTTGTGTATTATTTAGTCATTATATTAGCATTTTAATACATACCATAGCCGGGACCTGAGTCTCCTAGAAGGGTATGCGAATATTTAGTACCGACTTGTAAGTCCATTATATGCCAAAGTTTGTATTAAAATTGATCAACACTCTAGACGCTAGAATAATAGCTCTCTTTAAACCGCGTTACCAATTATGCGAATTGGGTATTTAGATAAATATAATTTAATGGCGAATATGAAAACAAAACTCCCTCACGCATACTATCACAAATATATCATTTGTCTGGGGACCAACATAATCCTCTGATTGCAACAATATTAATGTATTGTGAGTAATCCCTGGCTGGTATGAATGAGTCAGACCAACATCGAAATTATTATAACTGCATTATGTGCGTTATAATTATGCTAGCTGTTCCCGCGGCATCGACTACATGGAATAGTTATTTTGGCCGTCGATTATTTTTCAAAAATCATACTTACTAGCCGTGTCCGCGTGGAATAATGACTAGGGGTAGAATTTTTAATCATTTAGGCTGTTTATTAATTTAGGTAAGGGCGCATTTAAGGCAGCCAATTTATGTTGTAAGTGCTACTTTGCCTCACATCACTCCTAATCTGGCTGCCACTCTCATTCCTACACTCACTCCCACTCCCACTCTCACTCCCACTTCCACTCCCACTCCTATTCCCAAAAAGCCAAAGAAGAAAGTTTCATTGTTCTTGCTTCAAAAACCACGAATTTCCATACAAATTTTCACCCCCTTTTTCAACCCTACTTAACCCTAATTTCAACCCTTTTTAGGCCTATCTAAAGTATCTGTTAACCAAATTGTATTTAAATCAGTTCAGTAGTTTCGGAGTTAAAGCCGGGCAGACAGACAGAGAGAGTTACTTTCGCATTTATAAGATTAGTATAGATAACTGTAATCAAGGATATCGTCCACACCCCGTCGATTTTACAAGTAATTTTTAAAAAATATAGTTTTTTTAGATAACTTAAAGAAAAGAATTCTTTTATTCATTTTTTTTTGTGTAACTTGAACCGTTTTTGCTACACACGTAACTTCTCAAAAGAAGAAATAATAGAAGAAGAAATTCTTAAAGATGAACAAGGTTTCTTCTCCCCTATTAGTCTTAGCGTGACTAGGTTAGTTTTATACCCTTCCTTGATAAATGTTCTAACCAAAACAATATGTTTTTTAATTCGAACCGTTCAGGCAGTTCGCTTAGTTCAGCTCCCGGGATTAGCGCGTTCAAACAAACAGCGTCTTGACCTTTATAATATTAGTATAGGTTTTGTGTATAGTATGGGATTGTACAAGAATTTAAAAAAAGAAAAAAATTTTTGACTCGGGCAGGACTTGAACCGGCATCGGCAGCGGTCCGTGCTGTTGCTCTACCAATTGAGCTACCGAGTCAAGTTTTTTTAATCATATAGTGCCTTCATGTGCACAACGTGTAACAAATAATAAATTTTTCAAATGTATAAGAATTGTTAGGGATGTATTAAATACAGGGATATTTATGTTCTAGTACTAAATATGAGTACAGTCCAAAATTATTTATTCATGTAACTATATTTATTGTATGTAAGTAGAGATACAAATAAAAGTATCGTAATTTCGGTATAAAGACCTTTGCTTGTATTTGTATGATTTGTTTTGATGTAATTTTGATGTAATTGTTAGAGATACGGCCACTTAATATTTGTCATTTCTAAAGATAAAATTCAGACTTATCATATATGCCCACAAAACTTTGGTCTGACTCATTGTCATAATACCCCCCGTATGCACATTTCCGCATTGCCATGTGTAAAATCTCGACTGGCGTTTCAAATTCACTTGTACAACTGAAGCTAGACAGACGTGAGACTGATAAATCCTGATAGAGCACGCCCTTGCTACTTCAAAGGTAGGGTTGCCATCCTTTTAAAGTAAGCTCTCGAATGGAACCAGCCTCGATAGTGCTCGGACTCGACAAGAGGGCTTAAGTGCATTCCGAGTATTTAAATGCACGCGCAAAAATAAATTCTCAGTGGGAAATTCTATTTTTTCTTCTAGAGTTAGGTTAATCTCGCGTGAACTTTTAACCTGCGTATGAAATGATTTAATGCCTGAAAGCCATTCGCCGATGGATAATTTTCAATTCAATGGCAACCCTATATAACGTGTCCTTGAAATGCTAGGAAAATACATAATGCCAACTCCAGCAGTATGTACCACGCTATATCGTTCTCCTTTTATTATTGTAATAGACCTAGATATAAGTTATGTATGTGTATTTTATGAATTTCATATTATGTTTATGCAAACTCTTGGATCCTGCATGAATTACCGACTTTAGGGTATTGTGAGTATATTTTGCATGAATTTGAAGTAGAATTTTAAGTTTATTCTTAAGAAACCTATTATGAAATACTTACCCACTAAAAGTTACTTAAGTGGCACTGGAAATTTCTTAAGCACTCATTCGCGGAGCTGGAGTTTTAATATTAAAGTGTTACACAAGAATGAATACAAAATATTAAAATATATTAGTATAAATAAATTAAATTAAATTAATTGACATCAAAAAAAAATGACACGACTACAAGGCTGCTGCTCTACGTATTGAATCGGCCGTGGTTCAAGTCCCTTCCGTGTCATTTTTTAAAAATACATTTATATTTATAAGGGGTTTCGAGTACAGTAACTTTTTTTTAAATTTTAGTCATAGGACCAGAGACCAAAATATCTTATTAATCCAAAATAACTCATAGCATTTAATTTGAGTCTACATTGACATTCGTAGCCCTCTACGCAACGCTGAAACAGTAACACATTATAAGGTTTATTTGCAATTTCATATATGCAAAGTACATTCCATAACGTTGTACCTCTAGCCTTAGCTTTTCGTAGACTAAATTTATGCAAGAATTTTAAGTAAAAACACTCCACTAACTTAATCATAGAGTTAAACAAGAAATAGATTTTAATACCCGTAGCATTTACATTGATGGATCATTCATTAAGGTAATTTAAGGATATTTGATAATTTATTCGCTCACTAATATATTTCAAATAATGTTATACAGGAGAAAGAGGACGGACCGCTGTGTAAATTTTACGAAGTGATTATGGACCTGGGACCAAACAATCAGTTCCTTAACGAACTCAACTTGGCTAAAGATATAACGCTCTTCGCTCCATCCAACGATGCTTGGAATGATAACAGTGTTCAGAATATCCTCAGGTAATTTTACGTAAACATTTGTCTGCCTTTGTCTTATTCAAATCGTATATGAATACATTACGCTGCCATTTCGACTCGAGCTGTTTAATTTAAAAATGGTTTAAAGCGAATTTATTCATAAAAATGAACGAAACTTGAACAAATGTTTAACTTGAATAAAGTTATAACTATACAGATTAAGTTGAAGAATATTCACCTTGCATTAACATAATGAACAGATTTTGTTTTTGAAGTACGCTTAGATGTTTTTGTGTATATTAAATTTAATTCTTAGACCTTTAAAGGAGACTTTGCTCTCTGTAATGTAAGTATTACATATAAAATTATACAACGAAAAAAAATTTAATATAGATAAAGAAAATTATAAATGAAAATACAGATTAATAGATACCGAATGTTTTTTGTTCGGAAATCAAGAATTTCTTTATGGAATTGAAGAGTAGGTAATATTCAATTATGGAATCGTATTGTGCATAAATTATTATTATATTTTAAATTAAGATCTTCTAGTTGTTAGATCTTTTTCTTGTAGGCAAGATTGAAATAAACGAGTATAAACTACAGATAATCTTTAGAACTTACGTTTGCTTTTCTATATCTTATAGAAACCACCAGAAGCTACGAGAGATATTGAGCCTGCATTTGATTCGAGAACGCCTGCCTCTAGACGTCATTATACAGAACAATATGAATCAGGTCAGTAAATGTCTTCGTTCGCTTTCATACGTCCCACTGCCAGACATAGGTCTTTTGAGAGGGTTTAGAAGCTTACACCCACTATGCTGTTTGAGTACTGGTTAGCAGACTTTAACCACTACTGGAAATAAATTAGTGATGACAACCAGGATAGACTATACGTGTTCTCTTTTCACCACCTACTTCCAGACTCAGAGTTCAGATTCTTGGAGAAAATGCCAGTTGGTAATCGAACCCTGGATCTCGTCATTTTTAATATCTGCAGTACTAACGAAACAGTGGAGTAATCGCATTAAACGATATCGAATATAATTAGTCTGCATCAGATATTATTAACATAAATTAATTGTACTACGTGCAAATGATAAACGTCAATATCATTATACAGAACGAGTGATATATCCCAGTATGTACATATCGGTATTTAGGTTACAGGTCGAGTAAATTGCTTTTTACATATAATATAAATAGTCAACTTTCAAAACTGCTGCCTGGAACAGCTTCCAGAAAACGTACGTGTACATGTTGTGGATTGTAATAAGTGTTTTTAGGAAAGGTGTTATTTTTTATTTCATATAAGCGAGGGTGGCGCTTATAAAAATATTTGGTTATTAAAGCAAGAGAAAAATCGGTAAAAAAACTTTTAAGTTAAACGGTTTTATTTTGACATAATCATCGTGTTTTGTAGTATCAACTAGTGTAGCCCTATTATTTGATGCCCATATTGAGGGGGTTAAGGGCCAGTTGTATCTGCGGCCATCTTAGATTTATAATGTTATTGATCTATTATATAATATTGTCATCTAAATTAAATGTATGTACCAAATTTTAGATCAATCTGACAACAGAAAGGTACTTAAATTTCAATTTCTAATTTTGACCAAATTAAACAAATTCCGTACGGGTCGAGCTAAATAAAACCGTTTAAAAAACTATTGAGGCGCTTAGAAAGCTTCAAGTGTATTCCGTTGAACATGTCAAATAGTCTAAGTAAATTGGATTTGGTGTACAGCATGTCTGCGGTTATTTAGATCTATTGTTCGTGTTGCATGTTTCATATCTCGTAGCATATTGACTCGGTCTACGTCGTAGCCCAGGTTTGCCGTTACCGAAGCATGAAATTCGTAGATTCATGAAAATAGCTAACGTACATTCACCGTTCAAGCGTAAAATCATTTCAAAGCTGGCATTTACAATAGATAATGTGTTGGGATGAACGTGAAATCTCTTTGTAACGTTTTCACAACAGTGGAAATATGAGCTGAAATTTTTGTAACGTTAGATAAATAAACAAGGTTTTTTTTTTGTATTTACAAGGGAACAAAACAGTTTCAGTGGATTCTTTTACATTTCAAAGCTAGCTAAGCCTAAAGGAAGAGTAATTATATCATTATAAATGTATGTATGTACAAAATAGTTTAACGCTTTATAATAGCAAAACTAAGTTTTAAACGTAGTAGAAATTATATGATTTATAATTCAAGGAAAGATAACATATTAGTATTGTATAAATTTAAAATGGACCAGATGAAATTTTAACTCACAATCTAATTTAAATATAACACTTTAACGGTTAAATCGTTATATATTTTCCCCAAAGAAACGTCGGTACGCAGTTAAAATTATTTATTGATACATTGCATTTTAAACCATTAAAGTGTTTTATTTCAATGTGTACTACTCGCGTAAGCTACAGACAGTATTTAATTTACAGTCTCAAACTCAGTCAAATGCATAAACAATGGTGATTAAATAAAACATTTTATTTAACATTATTACATCATGTTATATAAAAAAAACTTGTTCTTAGATCTACCAAGCGCCGACAGCCTTACCGCGAAAGTATCTGTACTTCAACGTTCTGAATTCTGGGAACAATCAGACCTTGACCGTGGAAGGTGGTGGTGTTAACGCAACAGTGACCCAGGCGAACATAGCAGCTACGAACGGCTTTGTTCATATCATTGATAGAGTGCTGGGTGTTCCGTATACAACAGTGTACGAGAAGATGAAAACGGACCCTATGCTGAAGTAAGTATTAGTGTGTGCCTATATTGTTTTACGTTTACATAAACATATGTTGCTAAAAACATACAAATATTCTAGTAGTAAGTAATATTAAGTTTTCACATATAAAACCCAAACATTTAAATACTCCACTGATCTAAACTTCTTTATACGTCTTTTATTTACTTACTTATTTAAATGAAACATTTTTAACGGTTTAAAAACGAAATAAATTAGATGTAAATTTCAGTATGCACTTTCACGTTATTACGTCATGTTATATAAACTTACTTGTTTTTTGATCTTAACTTTTTACAATTTATTTTAAGTGCGGCCCTAAATGCTTTGCACCACGTATTAAATGCTTGCAGCAGCCGTGGTTAAGGGTGGGCTGATGATACTAGGAAGTTGTCCCTAATGTCGAAGTAGAAACTGCTACGCTAGCGCCATCTGTTCCCTTGTCGTTGGTATTTAGCGAAACCGATTGGGTCATTGCCGAACTTACTTATGCTGTGACGGCTATAAAAAAATAACCAGTCCTATGATCTTATAGTTAAATATTATTTTAGAAATATTTTTTAAAACTGTAGTTATATTTAAATGTAAAAAAACTGGCTGATTTTACCTAACGATTACATAAGTTGAGTTTATAATTCGAATATTTAAAATGTTTTTCGTTGCAATACTAGAGATACGGAACGTTTGAAAATGGAATCCATTTACACGAAAACTTATTCCTACTTCAATAGCTCATAACTACATTGTAGGAAGTAGGTACGAACAATTTACTTCACACAGTCGCTTGTTTGATTTCTATTCCGTGTTCACTGATATTTGAAATGTTTCAGATTGATTCATTGTTATATCTACTCGCATGTTGAACTACTGTTCAAATAGCGAACTTGCAAATTGGGGATTTTATAATAACGCTCTATTTTTAACGTATCCGTAGATAGACATTTCTCCTGCTTGCTTTTTCAAAACTGTTTTATACAGAACAATGAATAGGAACCGGTTTCCGGTCAGTGGAAGGGCAAACATTGTTGTCCTATAATAGTTTTGCGGTGTTGCGTGAAAGCTTTTTCTCCTGTCACCAACCTGGGCTGGAAATCTAGTTTATCCTTACAAACGGGATAGTTACACTGTAATATGAAAGTGGTTTAATTTAGCTGATATATTTTATTATGTTTTATTATATTTATATATGTTGATAATTATTTAAAAATATATCTTTAAAACTTTTAAATGGTTTATTAAAATATCCAGATTTTTAAGTACCGAGAATCTTTGATCTTCATAAAGATAACTAAACTAAACAATAATTTTAAACGCTCTTTTGTACACTTATACTCTCCAGTTCAGTAACACACTAACACACATTTGACCAGATTATAGCCTGTAAAATCCCAGCTATTTATATTGACCAAGATATTAATAAAATCATTGTGTTGTAGTGTAACATACAATTTGGGCAAACGACAAATGTTCAACCATCAGCTTAACGACTTGGAGCATCGGTATACCTACTTCGTTCCTCGCGACCACGCGTGGCTCAAGTTCCAAATCAAACATCCATCTGCTTACAACGCACTTTTCAAGGAGGACTTTGGATATTATGTAAGTGACATTGCCAATATTTACTCAAAACAATCCCCCAATATCTACGGTATTATTATATAACAACTGATAAGATAGGGGTTGAATCTACTGTTTAGTATGTATTTTCCTTTGACATCAGACGTATAGACATTTAAAAGCACGAATAAGTTTATGGAAAAGGAATGCATTCAATTCACACGGGGTCGTGGGTACAATGTATGGACTAATAATCAAGGAGTCGTCACGGAGTTTCGATTCCCACCGGGGCCAACACGTGTCTAATTTTTTTAAATCAAACACTTTAATGGTTTAAAACGAGATATATTAGTTAGACTTATTTGAAAATGATTTTCAACTTCGGTCCGACGTTTCACATAAGTTGAACTAATATATCGCGTTTTAAACCGTTAATGTGCTTTATTTAAATGTGTACTACTCGCGTAAACTATAGACAGTATTTATATATTTTTTAAACATGTTAAACTTCGTCTGAAAATTTGGATATTACATGGGTGGTAGGGGTATAGAAATTCAGTCCGGGTCACGAGCCACGGTCCACAGATGAAAAAGCCGTGAAGCTTAATCGCGTTTCGGTTTCAGTCTTTAGATTTCTGAATATCCAAAGCCAAAATATGTAGGCAGTGCATCTTGATAAGATGTTATAGGCTTGGGTATATCATCTACCATCGAGGTGAACCCATGCTTGTCTGTTCTCCTTTTCATTAGAAAAAAGGCTTGTTCAAAATTTAAAAATCGAACGACAACATTATATACTAATTGGATGTCGACGTATACGACATTTATCTGCTAGCATTTTCGTTAACATCATGTAAAGCTCTGTTTGAATGATAAAAGAAACAACGCTGAGGCGTAATTTTTGATTAAAATTAATTTATGTGCAATTAAGTCAAGTAAAGAAAAATTAAAATTCATCGGATTTTTCTGTATAAATATGCTTTTTACCATAAATGCACACGGCAATTTGTCATACGTTAGTGTGACGGCTCGAAAACGTTTCGCGTGAATTAAGTAAACAATATGCACTGAATTTTACGTCCGTTTCATGCATTTTCAGCTTTTATGTCAACATTTAATGACCAAGTGTAATGTGCTAAGTTATAGTTTTTATAACTTACAGTCATTAGCGCTAATGTAACTACGTAGGGACGTGTTCTTTTTAGGGCTTTAAAATAATATTATATTATAGAAAAATTGATAATTTTTTCTTGCATGTTACTAAATAATAAGTATTAAATAAACGCCTGTTTGCTATGTGCCACCTATGTAAAATGTTTTATTGCAATTAACTTCAGAACCTTTTACGCTAAACGAACTACTGCACCACCGGGGCAGTTCACTTATTATAATTAAATAAATTGCCGTAATTTATAATAATTTAAATATAATAAGCTATATAAATATCTGTTAAAGAAAAGAGAAAAGGCTCGTGTTAATTGTCATTTTCAATACGCTCTTTACGAACGTCCAACAGAACACGGCACGGCACAGAAGTCGAATCAACTTTAAAAAAAATGTGTTCGCCCCATGCCCCACGGGGAAAACTGGATTTCACTGGATTACAAGTACAATGTTAGAAAAATATGTACAATTTCTTTGAACATACGTTTCTAATTGTAATGCTTGTTCAGACGAAACAGATTCTGGAGAGGCACTTGATCCGGGCAGGGCGCGCCTACACGATCTCCGACTTGAAGTTGTTAGCCAACGAGACTCACCCCTTCGTGCTGCCCACAGCGCGGGACCCGCTTAGACTTAGGGTTAAAGAGTCTGACAAGAGTAAGTACTGCCACATAACAATGTTTTATACATCACACTTATCTGTTCAACTTGCATCTAGAATAGCAGCGCACGTACTGCCGACTAAGCTTTAAACTATTAAATTGCAAAGTTGTTTAAACCGTAGACACGTAGTCTGTGTCTAAAAAAAAGTGTGCGTAGAAAAAGTAAACTTCAATGAGCACCAATTTTTATGAATAATAATAACACTACTTATAATTTAAGTCTCAAAATGATGTAATATATATTCTTTTATATATAGTAAAATTTGACAGAAGTGAGGATGGAAGGTTTTACAGAAATAGTTTTTTGATTGAGCAGTAATTAACGATATTTTTCAAGTCAAACGAAGAAATTATATAACATCACTGTCAACAGCTCTCTAGCCATTTTATTTAATTAAATGTATTGCAATCGAGTTTGACAAATCAATGGATGCCTTTACAAGCTCCGAATTGTGTTCGAGCATGTAGAATCGAGTCGCTGACGAATCGATCATGAAATAATTGGATAAATGTCAATCGCAGATTATTACGTGGAATGGAACGGCCATTGGATCCACGTTTTCCGTCCGGACGTTGAGTGCACTAACGGCATCATACACGTACTAGATGAACCGTTCGTACTAGAGAGCGACATCAGGGCCACAGGAGACGCCCGCGCCACCTCGCAGAGCATCGCCGTACTGTTCCTCTCATTTCTCTTCGTCAGGATCATAGAAAACTAACTCTTATTACATTAGAGTTAAATATCAATATTCAAATGCAGGTCTTTCCTATATTCATTAGAACTTGCGGTCAATTAAGCCACGAATGTTGTTTCAATCTTATCAATGTTTCTGAAAACGTGTATCTAAATAAGCAATAGGACTAAACGATATTATGACTTTAGTTGATAATACATTTTTTAAATATATTTAGAATCTAATAACTAAGTTTGAAGGTAAATTCGATTGCTCTCTATGTGAAGTGCTAGTTTAATTTTTGTAATTATTACACATAGATTACGATAATAATGTTACTGACGCTTAGGTATTTGGAAAATTATGATATTATACGTATGTAAATTTTGAGAACTTCTTATTAAACTATACATTGTAGTTAAGGAATTATTACAATTATGTACGACTATAGCTATCGAATTTAACATAGTGTCGGCTGTCCAGGAAATATTGATTTTAGTGAAAATGCTATGAAAAACAATAGATATGTTTAAAAAATTTTAGCACATTGTATGAAATTGAAACTTTTAAATTAAAATATCTAGATAAGATTAAAACACTGCCAAAAACAATAATTAATTATGTCCTTAAATGGGCGATTAATTCTCAGTGCTTACATCACGATTATCAAAGCTGTTAATTTTTAAAGATTGGATTAGATTCTGTCATCATGATTCACATACTCACGATGACTGAATTTGGCATAGGGGTTGGAAAGCAATTTGGTGTTGGACATAGGTCGCTGGAAATGTCAAGTCACGACCTTCCCTAGTTTCACCTTTTTAGCTATCAGTCACTTACCTATAGTTTTACTTAATTTAGGCAGCGTATATCCCCGACTATTTTTGGTAACTCCAAATAAATATATATGACACAAACGGCACTAGAAGCCACAACAAATAGCGTACTTAACTCTTGCGTATTGAAATTTTTAAATGTTAAGGTCAATTTATTTTGAAATTCGATGTTTGTCTTGGATTCGAGCCTCGCCTGTGTCATATATTGTTTAAACATAAATGTACATTCATTTTGTATAAATAATTTGTATCGTTCTTATAATATGTTGTGCCTTTTGGTAAAAAAAATAATTCTTTATTAGAAGAAATATTTTCTATATGAAATATTTATTTTAAATTATAAATTCGTTTCGTCTTATGAAATATTAATAGTACATTCCATACAATTTATTTATTATAATATGTAGATATATTGAAATATTATGAAACGTTACCATTACAAAACTACTATCGAATAGTTATTTTATGAATCGTTGTGGCGAAATTCACTTTAGTTAGCGAGTGTCGACGATAATAAATAGGGATAAAATTTAATTGTTAGCAAATAATATCAACAATTCGTATATCTCAATCGTGCGTTCTTTAATGTAAATACGTGGAGTGTGCTTAAAATTAAATAACGGTGCATCTGACTGTCGTGTTATCATAATTATTATAATTAAGTGTACATAAGTTCTGTAAGTTATTAGTTAAAATTAATATAACATCCACCGAAGAAATAAAACAGTTTGTGTATTTTGTAATATCCATTATGAAAGCGATCTCTTCTAGTTATTTATTCCATGCCAACCTTCTGTTTTTAAATATTATTTTTGTAGCTTGCAATAATCAATCAGTATTGAAAATATGAGTTAGCTTTTAATTAGGGTATTATATATCTAATGTTTATCCATTAGACTTACATAGAAGCTTCATAACTACTCTAATCTTTGTAAGCGAATGAAAAATGTATGACAATATAATTTTACCAAATATTAAAACCAAATATTTGGAAAGACATCAGATCAAATTGTAATTAAAATGTTGTATAATCTCAGTATTGTGTAATGAGAGTTGACATAAACGTGTTTATTGAATAAAGAATTTATCAAATAAATCTTTCATTGAGTATCATGTTTACTTTAGTAGACCATGGTTTTGTAAGTATTGCACGAAAAACTAACGAACAGAAATTGACGCGTCGCTACAAAAATGTGGGTATATTTTAATCCCTATAAAAGTCCAAATAACTAGAATATTTTATTTTACGTAAAAGGTTTTTCCCCATTACTGCGCTGTACCTAACTCCACATACTACACCTAAAATTTTAAAAGTTCCACCTCCGCTTCCCTATGTGAGTTTGGAAAGAGCGTACATTTTTTATCAAAAGCCACTCATACGTAGAGCTCACCTTTGAAATATCCACCCTCCACTCGTTAGCTTCTGTTGATTGTCTCTGCTCATTCTTCACACTTGCGCAGCGCTTATACAGGACTTATTCACCAAGCTCCGCTGAATTTCTTCCCATTTTGCCCGTAATGAAATGACTCCATTGTCAAGTCTAGCATTGTTTTAAAATGTATTCTTCATTCAATTATATCTGTGTTATTGTTTGTTGTAAATGTAATGAGAGATACTGAATGCAATTATAATTATATAAATTGTATTTACCGAAGGCAGACGGAAACTGAAGGTCTGGGTAGAGATACATTTGATATGCAAGAAAAATTCTCATAATATCTAATAGCTTGTAATATCGACAAATGACAATAACACCTAGTAAGCAGTTTAAATAATACATTGGGATCATAAGGCTAATATTAGAAAATCGATGTTTTTTTTAAATTAACTACTTAATGATATCAGAGGATAGCAAAAGCTTGTGGATAGCAAAGATATTGTATAGGTACGTGTGAAAAAAAATAAATGGATATTTGTAACCATTTCCAATACCATTAATAGATAGGTTCCTTCTGACCGTTAGAGGAGACGGTCCTTAGCTGTTCAGACACTATGGACGTAATTGAAAAAATACTAATTAGAAATAAAAATATTAAGGAAGAAAAGTCAAGTACTTAAACGATGTGTTTACTTTTGACTAGTCATTTCATCCCAAGAGAATTTGGCATTGAATGGCCTTAGATTTTGTTGTTTGCACTGAAAAGTTTTAACGACCCTTAATATTTACTTAGGCTTATTGTTTACTAATTAAAAAGGTTAAAGTGACCCCAAACAGAAGTTTAAGCTCAAAGCAAACTTGAGAGAGAATTGTACGTGATGGTGGGCCCTTATAGTTTGTGTATAATGTATATGGAATGTGTTCAAATGATAGATCGTTGTTAAATTCAGTTCAGACTGAAGCAAAATCTGTAATTCAGATGTCCATCCACTGTTAGTGTGAATATTAAAACAAAGCCAACCAAAAACGCTATATAAATAATAAACTGGTTTGATGTAGGTACTAAGGGACTTCATCTATTGATATTCTATATGCTTATATAAGTAGTTTTATTGTCTTGACTCTACTAAAATTGCAGTATATTTTTGTATATTAACGTATTTCTTTTTACATGATTTTTTTCATAGATCGAACTATGTAAAAGTCTAGACATCGCGAAGAAAAGAGTCATTATTGAAAAGAAACTCGTGTGCGGTAACAAATATTTCCGTAAAGAAGATCTTTATTGATGAGAATTCATTTTTTTTGTTGCAGCATTTGCTATTTAGTTATGAAGAAAATAATAGAAAAAAAATACAATTTCGCAATTCAATATGTGTACACAGTGAAAGCAGATATTCTAAATAGATTTGTTGGCAAATGTTGTTAGACGGAAAGCCTGCCGCGGGAAGCCCTCGCCGGAAGTGCACGCCGCAACTTCCGGCCCAGCCAATAATAGATGACTCACTATCGAAGCTCACTGAGAATAAATTCCAAATTTGAAATAAATTGTACAGGTATTGTAAGGTTGCAAATACATCTATTCTAATATAGAAAGCTGAATGGTTTGTTTGAACGCGCTAATCTCAGGAGCTTCTGGTTCGAATTAAAAAAAATATTTTTGTGTTGGGTAGAGCATTTATTGAGGAAGGCACACATCGAGATGTGACTAATAGAAGCAAAGATACAGCGGGAGACGGGAACAAAACGGGGTAAAACTTTCATCATTATGGGTTTCCGAGGCGTAGGCTGCAAGAACTGTTCAAGATACCCAAAAAATATGTAGCAAAGAATAAATCCTCTTTAAATGATATTTAAAATATCCGCGACACTATATGTCTATCTGTTAAGATTAACTTGCAAGAAAAACGGGAAGGGACGCGACCGACGCCATGGGCAACAGTTTAAGTTTATAAAGATGAAAGGGTTTGCAAAACCAAATTTTGATACCCAAAATAACAATTCTATGCGGACAAAGTCGCTAACACAGCTAGTATATAACAAAGTAGCAAGGTCATCCACAAACGTCACAGTTGTTAACCAAAGTGTAAGAGTAATAGGTAATCTGACTATAATTTTTCAAAGTGAAAGTCAAAAATATTTATTCACGTAGGATTTAGGCGTTAGTACTATCTATTTACTTTACTCCATTTAATAGTGAAGAGAGACTGCCTGACTCTTTAAACATTATGTTCTAAAAAGTGATTTAAGAAAGAATTAAAAGATCTTTAATATATTATCATATGTATTAGACAGTATATTTAATAAATAAGAGAAATAAATTTTACGCAGTGGTTCAATAAACGCTGCTCGTCGCCCTCCCTGTGTCATAAACTATGTTAAATAATACATTAACTTTAATGAGTTTATTACTTTGTGACGATAATATGTACGAATTACAGTGCATATTCTAATAGGCAGGTGTTTGTAAAGTATAAGGTAAGCAGAAATGTGATATATTATTTGTCAATAACTTCTTTATACATATTATATTTTTACGCGTAGAACACGGTAACTCAATTGGTTAGCCGTTAGAGCAACACCACGGAACGCTGTGGATGCCATTCCTGTCGTAGCATAACTTTTTTTAATCTAACCTCTTTTATTTTTAATATTTATAAAATTTGGGAAAATTCAAAAAATTATATTGCTTTTAAAAATGTTAAACACTTAAAACACCGATTATTCACGATATCTTGGCAGGCCATAAACTATGTGTTCATGAGCATCGCTATCAACACTTTTGGCACGTTTTTGTGCTTCGTAAACATTTTCACTCTGTAGCGAGGAG